CACGTCATACCGGGCATTTTTTGTTCCATGTTTTGCCAAGAATTGTCTCAAGACAAATCATGTGTCGGCTACTTATCTTGGGTTGAAAGCCCAAGGAGCACATGATCAGATGAGTCAGACTCTCAACAGGCTTAGGCAGTAATCAAAGGTTCAATGCTTAGGAACAAAGTCCTCCTTGGCATTCGTACCCGCTGGATGCGTAGCGTACTCGAGTCAACGTAAAATTGAAAGGGTTCTGATACGCACACAGTTCATATTTCCAATAGATATTGACTTATTGTTAGTGCTTAATGCTCCTAATGCTCTCTGATGGTAAGATCGTTTAGAGATTAGGTGAGACGACTTCCAGTATGGCTAACATGCAGCGCCTTCAACACCACTTCCTCCTCTGGAAGATGGAACATTGTATACAAGTTAACAAAACAATGCACATGAAGTGCTCCTGACTCTGTTGACACTTATCTTACTGGGATGTGACGACTTATTCGCGCTGTTCGACCAAGGACTCCAATCCTGCTCACGGTAGAAGCCGAGCTTTCCATGAGGACTACAGCTTGTACACTCGAGAGTAGGATATCTCACAGTGTAGAAACAGCTTCTTTTTCCCCCTCTTGAAAGCACAATTTAACGCGATAAAAATGGATGAGATACATAGGTAGTTATCGTCGATGCTCGGAATTTTCATCCACAGGCCCTTCTTGTGGACTGCTCCGTTTTAGGAATCGTCCCTCATAAGTGTTCTCTGTTCGGATTACTTTCTTATCTAATCTTAGCACATTCACAAGATTGGCATAGTAAGACGGAGAAATCATGGGTGAATACTGTCTGCTACCACTCTTATCTCTGGACCTGACCTAAGCCAACATCGATTCGAAAAGGGTATGAGTTTTCGACGAATAGGTGTCAAAAAAGTATAAGGGTTGGGGAGCACATATAGCCGTTCAAGTTGGTTTTAGCTTAGGGATAGACAAACGGTGTTATTCTGAGCATCCATCATATCGCGGAAGCGACCAATATCTCGCTCAGAAGCACCTTGCAGTACTTGACTTAGTAAAGTTTGGTTACCTCACCTAGAGTACAAAGCTTGCAGATTGGAGGACCAGATGCTCGCTGAAACAAGATTTTGAGGTATCTGGCAAATTTAGCCTAGTACGAGCATGAATTCATAATATAATTGGCCTCTGTTATGAATTTCCAAGGTGAGCAGCGTGTCGAGAAAATTGGTAATCATTGAACATCCCCCGTCTATTTCTAAGGTAGGAAAAGGTAGGAAAATGAATGAAGTGTATGAGGGTTTGGGTGTGATCTACTTCTGCCTGTATAGACAGAATAGACCCTACTGAAATTCCATGAGAAGCGCGATTCTATCTGAAAGTAATTGACCATATCCGCTCCTTCGCTTTTGACAAAAAACATGGGCAAGTGAACATGATTTTTGTCTTTTCTCCCTCCTCCGTCCTGTGCTTTTTCCTTCCCTTCTCGTCTTTCTTCCTCGTAACTGTGGGAATAGAACTGGTGGTGGAATCTAGCATCAGAAGTCAAAAGCGTACATGATTGCGGTTCTCCTAGGGTGTCGCCATGGATGACCGGTTATTTACTCCCTAAAAAGCCCAGATACTCAGCTGAATTCAGACTTTGTGCTCGAAGTGTTTTTTGCTCCCAGACACAACGCTTTCTACACCCTGCTCGCCTCTCGCTGTCACAACGTCATGATGTATAGCTAGGCACATTTCACTCCAGTGTCTCTCGAAGATACACACGCGAGCAGCTGTTCAATGGAAACCATTTAATGTCGGCGTTCCTACCTTCCAAGCTCTTGACACTACACCGCCAGCTTACGAATAATTTTCCGCAATTCATATATTCTTTCACATTTTTGAGAGTATAAACCAGTTAGCTTTTCACATTCAATATTTGGAAAGTGAAGCACAGTCAAACCGTCGAACCTATGGAAGCATTTGCTTCATCTGCATTAATACTTCATCTCATAATGTGGTTAAAGGATAGAGGATAAAGACTCGGTGTTGATCAATCCTGTTTCGGGTTGAGCCACGCATCCCTCCCATCTAGAATCGTGGTGGCGATTTGAATGTGATTCATCCTACACGATGGATTGCGCGGGCGGATAATCTATGAGTCAGCGTTCCCTCTCAAATAAGTTGCTACCAATTAAGCGACCCCGTAGGAATGGAAGGCTTGGTTGGCCCTGGCGGCGCACAACCCTGTCTTCCCCGGTATATCATACGTTATGGATAAAGACTCTGTCAATTCCAGGTCTGTCTCGACTTCGTATCTTTTCTCTGAATGCGATGTGCTCTCATCTTCAATACTCGGCATTTCATTATTGCTTGTGTTTTTATACTTGTGTTACGAGGCTTTTAGGTAGAGTAATTTCTTCTGGGCCTAACTAGTTTTCAGCAATCCAGGTCTCAACGACGGCCGAAAGCATGAACTTAGCTCATAGTTCCAGAACTGAACATTCTCCCTCAACACCTCTCTTCTTCACGTTTCCTTGTCAAAAAGGCACAGAAATCATTCAGGACCTAAAGTAACGCAGCGCTGCAATCAGACAGTAGACCACTAGTGAACATGTAACTTTTTTGTCGTCATACAGTTTAATGCTGGGGACAAGCACGTGCTATGATCATCGAGGCAACTCGCAACGTAGCACAAATGGCAAGAGATCATTAGTTACAAACACCCACACCCTTGGATGTTCATCCTGGCTGAACTCCAAAACGTTTCTACTGCCATTCTCGACGGAATCTCAAGTTCAAAGTTCTCTGATCATCAAAGTAGCATTGATCACTAGTTCACTATAGTGAGTCATGTGAACAATGACGCTGCACTCCACGGTTGGAATTGAGTAATTTTTAGGGTTCCGAATTTTCCGTGCATCCCAAACAGGACGTCGGGAACGCTAAAGGGAGAGGCGATAGTCAGTCCTTAGGCCGATGTCAGACTTTGCGAATCGCGCGATTCGCTAGCGTCCGCGGTCGCGTTGCGGTACCAGCCAATTGAGTGATTCACTGGCCGCGACGCGACCGCAGACGCTAGCGAATCGCGCGATTCGCAAAGTCTGACATCGGCTTAAGGCACAAGGCAGAGTCGTGTGAACGCTTCCCTTCGGTCTGTAGTATAGACCCCAGAACAATCACAAATGTGGCGTTCCCGTGCACGGAAACCAACCGACAAGAGCGCTTGGGCCTTGCAAAGTAAGCTGCTGAAGCTGCAGATTTTTTTCTCTTATCAGGCTGTTGTCTGGCGCTCTCTCATCTGTAGCGCTCTCTCGCCTCATACTCTCCTCTCCGCGCTTAGTCTCTCATTCCCTTAGCACAGCCGATTAGGAAGGTGAGTGAGCCCTTAACCTAAGCGTTTTTTTCGGATTCTTTTCCTTTTTCTGCCGGCCCATTTCGCACCAATACATTCGCATTCGTGTGCAAGAGCCACACCAATGTGATCATGGGGCATGCGTCTAAGCTTCAAGTCATGTTTAGGCCATTGAAAACGACGGAGAGGTCGGAACGTTGGCCAGAATAAATTTTCCGACCTCACACTTCTCGTGGCGGAATCATGGAAATAGAAAAAGTGCATGGGCTGCACAGAGTTACAGTTTTGTTCCTCAATCTCTTAGCTCAAAATTAGTGATTGAACTGGAATCCGGCATCCTTCCATTCTTCAGTACAACTTCCAGTTCAGTTACTGCTCGATAGCTGACTTGGTCTTGTGGCCATACCTGTCCATTACCTAAGCGCATAAGTTTTTCTTTAGCGAAAAAAATGATGATTTTGAAGGCAGCCACTTACAACGCACTAATCCTGTTAAAAGTAATACGAATCCTCATTACCTTGTATTTGGACGAGAGCAGCAAACGACCCTATCCTATCTTGTCTGGCTCCAAGGGCAAATCGAATCCAATTAAACGGACCCTTGACAGAATTAATGACTTAAAGGCAGTGAACGCGATCGCTGAAAGGTAGAGAGGTTATGGTAATCATTGGACACCATTAGTGATCGGGCCTCAGGAGGTGATTTCATCCACATCCCCAGCGCTCTGAAACCTGTATTTCCCCAATTAAGTCACTAAGGCCGCTACACCCACGCACGTAGAGCCATAGTTTGGATGAATAACAGGAGGAGAGCGGTCTTGCTCTTTGGAAATTCCCTGCTTTCCACACCCTTTATGACTTCGTCGATCAGCTGTTCGTGGAGCAATAGATTAATGGGGCAATAAAGCAAGAAAGAGCGGAACAAATCCATAAACAAAAGTGTTTATAATTTGTAGCTTCGCCTACTAGGGTGGGATGCAGCGCCAGACCGGTCGAAATCGTACCTGCGGGGATGTCAAGATCTGACTTGAACATTAGCATGTGCTTCATGTTATGAAAAATATGAGTTTGTAAAGCTCTGCAGTCCGGATGTAAGGAGCCTACGGCCCATTCTGAATTGATTGATAAATACCGAGGACGCTGTGTTTGACCTGCTACCCTACACAGAAGCATCATACGTGTATCCAATTGTCCTGAAGTCGTACCCTGCTCACGGTAACACACTGCCTCTGTCGTGAATCCTCTTTTGGCTAAACCTTGAGAACCAGATCTGCATCATTCCAAGAACGGCTCCCGCCCAACCACTAAGCCTGCTAACCCTCCTGGACCGTTTTAGTGGGGCCAGATTCTTTTGAGAGGATAAAAAACACTGACTTGGCATGTCATGCATGCGGTTTGACAATTCATTGCCAATGGCAAATCGCACCCAAATGTAACCACGATTCTGTATGGGAAGAGAAAGCCTGGCGCATTCTAGAAAGGATTCGAACAGTTGTTTGTCCCATTCACTAAACCCTTAACTCTGTCCATGATCACGAAATCCGTGGTATCTTTCCAAAGTTGGTCATGTGGGCGGGGCCTGGTGTTTACACGTCGTTTGTCCGCGGGCGCTTTGGCCCGCCCATCGCTCATGTCCACTCAGTGCGTGATCGCTCGCTACGCTAGTCAACCATGCTTCAGCTACAATACTTCAAAAATGAATACGACTCAGAACAAAAGTGAGTTCTAGAGATTATTCGTTCTTTGATGGTGTTTTTACTTCAATACTTCAAAATAAGAGTCCCATTTTTCCCATGAAAATGGCTAACTCTTTTACATTCTTCGAAATCATCTATTTTTATATTCCTTAGATCTATTCCAGTTAGGGGGGCATCATGCAGTTTCTCGGCGAACTAGTGTGAACTCGAACATTCCAGCTTTTCACGCATGTCAAGTGACTGCCCTCACCCCCACCCCCTAGACTGGCTACACTCCCCCTGGCTCGGAGTTACCCTAGCTTTCTGGAAAACTGCATCATGATGCCCCTAACTGGAATAGACCCCATTTCTTTTAGCAAAGACCCATAGAATAAGGGGTGGCACATGGTGCGGAAATTGTTGCCGTTTACAGAACTTCTACTTTTTGCAGGGGGAGGAAATCCCCGGGTGCGTGATCCATTTCGCTTTCCTTTTACGCAACCACGCAGCTTCCCTCTCCGAAGAAAATTGGATTACTCTAGGCGTACGAACTATCGCTCCATATGCCCATCGGTGCGAGACCCGGTGTTTCCTTCAGGAAATCTCGTAAAGGTTTGGTCGAGTCAGAAACAAGGAATACTTTAAAATGTTCAAAAACCCTGGAAAATTCCGACACCTATGAACCTCCAGATTTAAGAGCTGACCCACTAAATGTTTCCTGAATGCAACCGATGTTTTTCTGAATATTTACTAATTTTCCAACAGATCAATGGAATAGAATAAAGCTAACTGCGAAGTCACGGTTGGTAGGTGTTGTGCTAGAATGGCACTTGTTCCCTACAGAGACTAATTTTTGAACTTCAAATGGGTAAAAGCTTTCTTGAGACCACCTCCTAATATCACTCTTTCGTTTTCATTCTTCCGCTCTTTGGTGTTTGCTGAACGGGGTTCTTTCCTTTTGTTTTTCTTAACCGCACTTCTTTCTGATTGCCCTTGATCACGTGTAGCACTCTCTCGTGCCGTTGAAAAACGGGTCCGATCTAGTTTTTCAGTACTACATAGTGCGTGACAGCCGTCTACCGTCAACTTTCTCCCACTTTTTGTGAACTCGTAGCATAATATATGCTTTATTCAATTGCATACAGTTTTTTATGGTTATATTGCAATGATTCTGCTCAGAAGAGGTTCAACACTTTCCTGGGCAACCTTTAACATTCGATGTGATGGTGTTACCTTATCTTTTTTGCGCATTCATGTTTTTCTGTTTAGTATGCGTCAATCGATTGTTGTGAAAGCCCGTGTCGATGACATGGAACAAGCGGAAAATGCCATTTTCGATCTTACTGAGTCACTTGGAACGTTCTTCGTTCAAGAGGATGTCTACTTCAATGTTCCAAATGGAAACCTTAAACTCCGAATTATGCATCCAAATGTGAGTGCCACTGTTTGTTTATATATGTTGGATGTTTCCCGATTAGTTATTCCCACATGGTTTTTGTACATTAGACTTGCGACTTCTCGGATTATTTTCTCCAGTAGAGATCAAACAATATTTGAAGCAATCTCAATGACTGTCTTATCCTTCCGGTGTAGGAGTTTCCGTTCGCGACGAACACACCTATTAATCAAGTATGCGCGCCCCTTCTTATCAAAGACTGTCGTTGGATGAAATCCGAACACCTAAGTCATGCTCTACCTGCGTATTGGGATAGCTTCGAATCACTTGTTCAAGATAAGATAGTGAGTGTAATCGCGGCATCTCA